GATTGCAGATCGTGATCATTCGAGTCCGAGAACCAGTAAAAGAGTTTACAAAATTCATTAAAGGTATTATTCTAAACACAGTTTCTATGTAAATACAAAGCAGATCTGTGGTGGGAATTGAAAAATAATTTATTTTCCGCTGTGCATGAACAAGTAAATTCAAAACAATGGTATCAGAGCTTACTTTATATTTGTTAGAAACTGTTTTACATTATGGATCATTCAAAAGTTGGTTGTTCATAATTTTTCTTGAATCCAACAATTTAGAAAATTATTTTTCATCTTTAAAATCCGCTTTGAAAATAATAATAATAATAATAATAATAATAATAATAATAATAATAATTTTTAGGGTCGAGGAAAGGTTGGTGGCAGCGTAGCCGACGGACCCTATAGCACAGTGCGACACTGTCTCACGCTGCTGTTGGCAAAAGTAGCGAACAAACGTCACTGCGATTTGTAGGGGCGATTGTCGCCGCTGCGAATGGGGACTTCAGCTGCTGTAGCGACGGATGCCGCCGCTGTAAGACAGCGGTGATGATCCGCATTAAATCTTTGCGGCGTCGGCGAATAACTAAAAAAAATCATTAGGGTTTCAGAAACGGGTGGAGGTGGGACTCTTGATGCAATTTCTAAAATTGTAGGGGCCCGTCTGCAATTATGAAAAAATGGTATGGTTATAGTTTTTTATATGAAGGACCTATCGTGCAGTTAAATTAATTGAAGGGATTGCTTTTAATTTTAAACTTAGGTCAATTTGCAATTTTCAAAATAGTTTTTGAATTTAAATATTAAAATGGTTTTAAATTTGATTTTCAAATGAGTTTTGACCCATATTGTTAATTTTGACCCATATAGAATTTTATTTAAAATTGACGATTTTTTATATTTTCGTTAAAATTGGATTTTAACTTAAATATTAAACTTTGACCCTAATTTGATTTTTATTTTATTTAGAAGTTTTATCCCAAATCAAAATGTTAATTCATTTTAAATTAGAGTTAGACTTTAATTTAATATTTAATTAAAATTTGATTT